AAGCATTCATGGGTGGAGGAGCTATTGAGTGTTGGCATAGACCTAAACACTTCAGTGGTTTAGCTGGTTTTTATGGGAAAGATAGAAATTCATGCCAGTGTCTCTGCTGTATACAGAGCCACGGTTCTGCTAAATACTCACCTAGATAACCAGGTTAATGCTGTTAAACACGAGGGTTACAATGTGGTTCATCTGATGTAGGTAGACTTGTTCTTTAAAAATACTAGAGAAGGGAAAAAACAATTAGAAGTTAATTGCATTTTAAATAGGAGGGTCATGGCAAAATAAATATATGTAATTCCACTAGCGGAGCTCCCTGCCAGTTGTTCATTTAATGGGGAAATGTGTGGAGGGGTACAGAATAGCAGGAAACAAAATGGTGAGTGTGGTGTGGTGTCACAGCACTTCTCCCAAACTTGACTCATTAGAGCAGTTTTGACAGAAGACATCAGCATGGTTCTGGGAAGTTCAGTACATTGCTAAAAATCTTATCCATGGACTGTGTAATAGAAAACAAAATACAAACTTAATACTGAGTTTAACTTCCTAAAGACTAGTCTGAAAAGACAGAGACATGTTCATTCTTGCCATCTGTAATCCAATGAATCTTTAATTAGATCAAGTTCTGTAGAAACAGCTTCTATGGGAGTTCCCTTGTGCAGTGTAGGCAATAGAGCAAGCACATTTACTTTCATGCTTGAATCACCTAGATTGCCAGCACCACTCTCTTCTATTCATCTGCCTCTTAGTCTCTCGGAGAACCTCTGCAGACCATCAGTTTTAGAGACAACTCTGCACGGCCTAGAGGAAAGCACTACCAAAGATGTAGACTTGGGATAAGACTTTGTCCCTAATATTTCCATTAGATGCCTTCTGCTTTCGGTTGTTCTAGAAAGTGCATTCTGATACATCTGATTGTTACCATGAGTTGCACAGGGAGGCTTTAGTGCTTGACTTAACTGCTGTGAATTCTACAGCCGAGGTCAAGAACTGATATGCTTTTGTGTATGTAACCTTTAATTGTTTTGTCCTGGTTGCTTCTTATGTGGCAACACTGAGACAATATTAAATATCAAAACATGAGCTGTAAAGCAAGCAAGCCTTCTAGAAAAGGAAAGTATCTGTTTTATTACCATTTTATGATAGTAAACAAAGCAAAAGAAACATCAGAAAATCTAAGCTTCTATAGCTGATATGAACTGATGTTCTGTTCTTCTCATGGGCTATACCTTTCAAAGGCTGGAGAATTAGAATATGGCAACAAAATTGAACACCATTAGTGGCACACTGTACAAAGGAGCTCATACTCTGTAGTACGTTCAGTATTTCTTCTTGTGAACAGAAAGTTTGGGATATTCATAATTACCTGAAACTTTTTTTTCTTTAAAGCAAACACAGCCCTAATAATTCTGTGCTAATTTAAGCACAGAATAATTTAAGCTCTGCAATCTGGATGAATTTAATAGTTTACACTCTATCTGTTAGAACACTGGGTTTGCTGAATTGTCATTGTAGTCACAGTGACAATAGTGCAGAGCTGTTTGGAGCTTCCTGTGAGATCTGCCCATGTTCAACAGGTGGTCAAGAGGTTTAGAAATGGGAAAAGAAGAGATCAACAGCCTCTTTGGCCCCTCCATACTCTAGACTTCCGTGGCTCACTCCTTACATTAGCATGCCCTTGATGCATTCTCAGTGTCTTAAGTGTAACTAGTACCTCCTTAACCAAATACCTCCTGCCTATTTTCCCAGCCTCCACTCACCCATTTTCTGTGCTCCTCCTGCCGCTTCATCCCCTTGTTGCACCAGCTCCTGCACTGCCTTCTTGCACCTGCTGCTCTCCCCACTTGTTCCTTCAGTACTGCTATTGCTTACTCACATCACTGGGATGAGAAAAATAGTTCAAGGAGTGGGCTAAGAGGGACGGAAAGGTATGTGGCATAGGCAAGAGAAGGTAGTGGCAGTGAGGTCTGCTTCAAAAAGATCTAGTATCTAGTTCCTGCCTCATTACATGCTTGAAAGTTTGTAAGAATGAGATAAGAAAGTTATCATACTTAAACAGTACTCTGGAGGGTTGGGAATGTGTCCCTGCAGACCCTAGGCAGGTTCTCATTAGTTGCCATGTCAGGTGAACACAGCTATTTGAAGGTGTCTAATTGTGTGCTTTTCTTTCCCTGGTACTCAGATTGAAATGCTGTGCTTGAATATATGAAAGCCTATGTGATTAATTGTTTTTAAAGCAGATCATAAGAACCTTCAGTTAGGCAGCTTAATTTAGTGGATCTTTTAATCTTCTAACAGTAAAATAAGGATAATTTTCTGTGTTTTGGTGTCAGAAACTATTAAAAAACTTAGTCCATTTTTGATGAGAGAAGTCAGTCTTCTGTAGGGGCACTTCAGGGAATTCTACTAAACTGTTCTTTGGAAAGGTCCATATTTGATTATTTTATTAGTACAATGTAGAGATTCTGTAATATTTACTCACAAAGGAGGGTAAAAAACCTAGTTCAACATCATTTTCAGAAAAAGATTTTGTTTCGACTGCAAGCAAAATTAATTCATGGCTGTGTATGGCAAGGAACTGCAAGGTTAGAAATGCTGAAGGAAGTATTGAGTATCATTCCCTTTACAGAACTCCCTTGTATTTTCTTATCAGTGGTATTATATTTCCTTCTTTCATGTTTACTTTTACCATTGACTTAGTCTCAAGTTTATGACTGTATTAACAAGGATTTTGTGTGTGAAGTAGGAGATTTTTATTCCTAGCCCAACCAGTGTTACATTATTATATTCTAATAAGCTGACTTTTGTCTAAACTAATCCAGCAATCTGTGTTTTTTCAGCAGACTAATTCTAATGACTAAAGTTTGAACGTGATTGTTGTGGGCACTGTGCTTATATTAATTCAATAAGTCAATGGGAGCTTGTTCCTGTTTCTTCTAAGTCATCAGAAAAATAATATTAAACTAATAAAATAATACTAAGGAGCAGGACCAAGACAACTAACATTGACTAGATGTTTTTTAATTAATTCCATTTAGAGTTTAAGAGTGTATTTAAATTTTTCAAGGCCTAAAACTGAGGTTTGGGAGATACAACTTCTGTTTCCAATACGGTCTTTATTTGTGTGTGCCAACACAGTTTTCATCTGTGCCTCACTTTACCCCAAATTAAAATTGGACAATAGTACTTGACAGGGGAATGTTAAGTTTTATTCATTAGAGCTTTGAAATCTCTGATGGACGAGTTTAGTGTCTGAAAACAAAGTATTTTCATTCCATTTTAAAATAGCAAACCTAATGCTTAAGTGATAAAAAGAACTGCTGAGAAGCAACCCTCCGTTTTCTCTCTGTTTAAGTTAATTATGGAGAGTCCATGGTACATCTTGCCTGTGAGGGCACACAAAATGAAATGAACAATTGGCAGACTAAGAGGGTTAAGAACTGTAATTTTTTTTCTTCTCTGTTGCTTCTGGAATGCTCTTGTTGACTTTGTGGTTACTTTTTTAGATGCTGTATTGTTGTCTGACACTCCAGAGCTGTTGCATGATACTCCCTTCCTAATACTGCTTGTTTTTAGCTGGAGTTTTAGAGACAGGAATGTCAGTAACTGGCTGTTTCCTGGAGCAGTTCAGTCTGACAGCAGAACATTAAACATCTTTCTTACAGGCAGATGAGTACCTCTGTGCTTGGCAGAACTGGATGGCCTGATACATTTTGCTTAAGCCATTCAATTTTGCTTGAATTTTGATTCAAGCCTATGAATCTGAAATTTAACTAACAGACTTAAAAAATCATAAACGTGGGCCAAGTTTTGAGGGTTGGTTTATTTTCAAGTCCATTCTTCTCCTTTACTCCCTAAAAAAAAAAATCTTATTTTTTGGAAAGTCTAGATCTAATCTCTCCCTCCCTTCTCTGGCCTAGGGCTGCAGACTTTTTCTCCAGCTTTCCAAGATCTTCATAGGAGCCAGTCCCCGCTCTCACAATACCTGGCTGGATATAACTTGTTCTTTCATGCATGCCACACCAAATGGACACTTACAGAGCATAGCTGGCTTGTCAACCTGAAGTAGAGGTCCACAACAGTTTTTCAGTGACAGCATTGTGATAGTAGGTCCAAACTCACAGTGCTGCACTGCTTTCCACACCACAGCTTTTCTCCTTGGTTGTGGTGCTGTGGAGGCCTGAAGTTCCTGGCTGGATGTGTAGTATATTCCTGGTTCCAGAAGATCAAATTTTGAGTGAGACATAAGGCCTACCAGTTGTGTTGGCTTCTGCCCGCCATGAAAAAGAAACTACATGGCTAGTTACCAGATACTTGTGAACAGCCTGGGTAGAAGAAAGTGGAGAAAATAATCTGTCCCTGAAGACAGTAAGCTCAGGAAGGGCACTCACATTTCCTTATGGGAATTCTTGCAGTGAGTATGAGACCTGTTAGAGGAGGTTTGTTTATAGAAGGAGAGAGTTGCATAGAGACCCACTAATTGCATTGGAAATTAGAGAATTTACTTAACCTCTTCCAGCTTTGTGGCTTTTTGTTTGGATTTGGGGGATTTTTTTTTTTTTAATAGCCCTGAATTATAAAGTAACCTGGAGTGATTTGAACTGTTTTTGACTGAAACTTGCAGGCTTAAAAAATAGGCGAGTTTCTCTTGTTAAAACTGACTTTTTAGCATTTTGTCTTTACTCATATAGTAGCAGAAATAACCTAATTCTTTACAGACCATGTGTATTTTAAGGTGACTTCAATCAAATTCATAAAATTCTGTTTCTACACATACCTGAAAACTTTTATTTGCTTTTTTTTTTTTTTTTAAGCAGAGTACTGTTTCCTTGTTTGTGACCACATAGGAGTTAACATTTTATGACTAATAGACATTCTTTTTCAAACGAGGTATATTCTCTCCTTATTCAGGAAGCTGGTGGGTTTTCTATGTACATGTGTTGGCCCCATTGTCTGTCTTCTTTTTACCTTCCTGCTTTTTTTTTTTTTTTCTTTTACAGATGTCACCAGCCATGAGTAAGTCGGGGGACCTAAAATTTAGCTTGGAGCGTGACACAGATCGAGACTCACCTGCAACACAGTAAGCAAGAAATACTTAAAACAATTTACAGTGTTATTTCTACAACTGCTGTTAGAAAACTGTGAGAAATGTTGCAATGATTTTTATTTTTTTTAGCAAGCAGACCAGGAAGTTAGCTTTAGGTTATTCATTCAAAAAGTCCTTCACACCTCAGACATGAAGGAAATAACAGTTTGTATATGTGTACACGCACACATCTGCATACACACGCTCTGTGCCCCAAAAGAGCAAAAACTATAATGTACATTAAAATAAAAATTCAGGGATATGGGCCATCCCTTAGCTATGTATTAGGTTTTGTTGCTAGAAATAGCAAACTATTTTTGAACCTTCTAAAAATTAATTCATGTAAATTACAAAAGATTGTCACATAATCAGAAGATGCAAGCTAGCGTCTTTGATTGTGACACTTGCATTTTTTAAAAATTGTACATATTCGTTGTGTGAAAGCTGTAAGCAGATAACATCTCAACATTTTGAACAAGAGCTTCCACAATATCTTTAGCTATTGAAACCATTTATAATTCAAAAAATACATATGAAAATCACAGAATCACAGAATGTTGGAGGTTGGAAGGGACCTTGAAAGATCACCTAGTCCAACCCCCATGCCAGAGCAGGATCACCTACAGTAGGATATACTTCCTGTGTTTGCCATTACAGGTGTCTGTCATCTAAGCAAAGTTACTTCACTGATCATTTTCCAGACTGGTCCCCTCCCCATATAATCTGTGCATATATGATGTAGGTGCAGATATGTATCTAATTTTAACTTATCTTTAAATCTTATTTTTCTATCTCCAGCTGTATCTAGATTTGCAAATGAATTGTGAGTGGAAAGTTTAACCCTCATGTATAACGAGAAATGGGCTGTAACTACACATTGACAGGATTCAGAGCTTTGAAATTTGGGCATAACTATTCTGATAGGATGTACATTAAGGAAGGAAATGCCTTAAAAGCACAGTTACTGTGACGGTTGATACAGTCTGTTAGAAGCCAATATCAAAAATTTGGTATGACTCAACTCCATTAGTAGAACTTGAGGAAACAGTTATTTTGAGTGACCTTTCCAGGGCATCCACTGAAAAATGCAGGACCACAGATTTAAAGTGTGGAATCACAAATGATTTAATTAAATTCAAGAATTTTGAGTTGTATCAAATGTGAAATATTCATTTTAATGGAAACTAAGGCTCTTCTGAGAAGAGGTCACACTGAAGTGTCATGTTGGAGAAACAGAGCCCCAAAAGTGCTTCTGTTACACTTCAAAAAGGTGAGAGAAGGCATACCTGAGTCACTGGAGCATCATGGAGATGCCAGTCTGAAGTCATGCTGTCCCATCTGGGCAAAGAGAAATGTTGTAGAGCTTTATTCACAAGCTTTCAGGGTACTGAGCCATTTATATCTGATCATTAGTGAGGGAGAGTGAAAGATGCCAAGAGGTAGCATTTGATGCTGTACCTTGTCAAGGGAGAGCTAATTTGAAAGGGAGGAAGATAGACATGTCAGTCCTACACAGTGCTATGTTTTCCTTCCACGTACAGGACAATCTAGACTTTGTTATGTGTTTGCTGCATTTTTCCCTAGCGCTTGTGTTTCATCTGATGTGCAGAGCGCAGTTTTCACTGCACGTTTGAAGATTAGAATGCAAATCTGAGTAATGTCTATTCCTGATCTGAAGCTTGAATCTTAAACTATGTAATTTGCAAGCTCTTCCAGGACCTAGAACATAATGAAATGTGATTCATTTGTCTTTGTAATTCTAGCAGTGACTGCACATACCAAGTTTTTTTGGAAAAGACTACATTTGTTTACAGACTGTCTATATAGTACGAATTAGGTAATAAAGCATCTCAGAAACATGGCTGCATATTTTTTATGAAAACTCACACTTCTTTGTACCTGAAAATGTGACCCACAGGGGTTGTGACAGCTGTGGTTTTCTTGTTCACTGCAGTTGATATGTCTCGAAATAGCCTTAAAAAATGACGCACATGTTAGTGTTGCAGTCTTAAGTGGAAAAGTTTTCAATTTTAGCATCTAAAAGCAGTATCAACATGACTTGATCCAGTCCAGTCTGTGCTTAAATAGTTGTTCCACCTAAAATTGTTATCTTCCTGTTTTCTGTGAAAATACACTTATCCATTTCACATGCTTGTATATTCGTTTGGACTTGATGATGATGTTAGAGATCTTTTCCAACCTTAATGAATCTATGATTCTATATGATAGGAATTATGCAGTAAATAAACTTTATAAGAATCAAGTGAGATGTGATTACCAAGTACACACTTTCACTATGGAGAAATGAAACTTAGCACCTGCACAACTCAGTATACCTTGCTTTGAGCCTCTAAATGAATGACTGCTGTTTTGCCTATTAGAACAGTATTCATTATGGCCATAATACCTGCTGTGAAATAAAGAGAATTGCAAGCCCTTATGATGTGTCTGTCTTTCAGAATTTCTGGATAAAAAATACGGTTTTGCAATAGGAAAACAAATTTTATCCAAGGTGATAGTAGCTTTTTGTCTTAGTCAAGTAGTTGACTTATCTTCTGCAGTCTCTATAAAAAAAATAGAGAAATGTCCACATAACAGATGCTAAGTGAACTAAAACTTTTATTTAAGTATCTCAGAGATTTGATACATCATCTTATCTGATGTTTAAATAATACAAAGATGAAAACTACTTCTCAAAATTTGAGTAGCTTTAAACTGAAAATCTGCATAGTAACCTCGCCTTTCTAATATTAATGATTAGATGCTATTTGTTGGTACAGACATTATCTCCTCAGATATATTCCCATTGTACAGTTTTGTTGAGCTACACTAGGTAGTGCTCTCTGCATAAATTTACAAGTGATTACGCATGAGACCCAGCTGAACACTCGGTTTGTTAGATTGGTACTTGTAAGTGATTATGATTTTGTACCCCGGTTTCTCATGCAGCAGTACTTCTCAAATTGTTCCAGGAATCCTAGTGCAGAGGGTCTTAAACTCCAGAATCTTTTCCATAGGATGTTCCGGTATTAGAACTGCAACAATTAATGCATTCGTGAATACACAGTTCAGCTCAAAAAAGATTCAAACTGTAAGCAGAGAGTCATCAGTCCATTAGCAAGGCTGATGTATGATCATTTCATCTATAAAATATGATTACATTCAAACAATATCACCAGTGGTAATGCTCTTGCAGCACCCTTTTTGGGGAAGCTGCACACATTGCATTACGTTCTTTGATCTTGACTCATCCACCCCCTTATGTGTTTCAGCAGCATTCAACATAACAGTTCTGGTTACAAACCAAGACCTCTTTGTGCTAGGCACAACACAAATTTTGAACAAACACAGTACCTGACCTTGAAAGGTTACAGTCAAAGTATTATTTCCTATTTATAGTTAAATACCATTACAACTTCTGCCAAGTGTAGGAATTTATGGTAGAAATGGTGTAACACCTGCATCCTTGGCATCATCTGTGAAACCAGTCTAATTCCCTTCTTAAAGGCACTAACTGGGAAAGACACAGGAGCGTGAGTGATGCTTTTGGCATTTTATGAAGTCTGATAAGCATAAACAGACATTGAAGTGATTTCTGATTCTGTAAATCTGTCATAGTTCAGGTAAATTAGAATGGAAAAGCTAATCTTATGCACCTTGTCTGCCTGTCTTATTCTTGCTGAATAAATAAACCAGGAATCTCTCTTTAATTGCAAGTATTTTGGTGTTTGAGCTTAGGAAAGAAAAAAAAAAATTGTAATGGCTTTTATGAGAGGAGGAGACTGGTAATTTGTATTTTTTAATTACATCTATTGATCTGACTATTGATCAAGACTAGCTGATTTTTAAGATTACGAGAAGTTCTTTTCAGAGCAATGCTGTGTTATGTTAAAAAGTAGACTACCAGAGTGGTCTTGTATTTTGTCTTCATGGTTTTTCTGTCTTTGTTCTGCTGCAGAACAGTAGTTTTTGTAGCTGTTTCAGCATTGTACTCAAGGGAGACAGGCAGACAATTGCTCTAACGCATCAGCTGTGGGTGGAAAAGGCTCTAAATTTGGGCTATCTTCATGTTTCTTTTACTCTTTTTATATCCACCTTCCTCTAGAGGTGCAAAGAAAAAGAAGAAACGGATACAGAGGAATGAGAGAGAAAATCAGCACAACTTAATGGGTCTCGAGACGCCTGTATCATCAGGTACCGCTAGTGGTGTTGCAAATGAACCTACAGGCCATGGAGTGGAATTGAAGAAGAAGAAAAAGGCAGTGCGAGGCTCAAACTTAAGCACAAATGGAAGGACAAATACTGCCTTTGAGCCTGAATGCTATGATGTCTAGTCATAATTTAATTCCAAATACTGGTATGATACTCAGTATACACATTGAAAGCTGCATCTATGATCTCACTTCTGGGATTAACAAGAATCAAAGAAATCAAAATTCTCAAATATACAAAATGGTACCAGTTATGACTTACCAATGGTGTAAGCCTGTTTTGGGAGACTTTTGCCCTGGGTCCCTTGAAATCAACAGAACTTGAATGTTCAGCTCCTCATTGGATTGGTAAAATCTGAAACTGTCAAATACAATGTTAACCAATTTAATATCTGATTGCGCCTTAACTTCGGCATTTCTGCAGACTGTATATCAATTTACTGGGAGCAGAGAATCAAGTGAAAAAGAGTGATCTAGAGCAAAACAAGCCCAACCACTACTTAAGTTATTAAATTAGCGTTTTAAAATGCGTTGTAAGTAAAAAAGAGGGGTGTTCAAAATGGCAAAATTCCAGAGGCACACTGATATTACAGTGTACCTGAAAACATAAGCTTTTCAAAAATATTTTCCTGAGATCAAATACTCACTTGGACTGTATTTTGGAGCTCTGAAGCGAATTGTTGAGTAACTACCTATGCAACTACACTGCCTTCATTAGGACTACTCATGCTTACCAATGTAAATAAGTGTTGCAAATTCCAGGCAGTTACATTTTTCAAATGAGGTTTTCTGCACATAATAAAGATGCATTGCAGTTTTGTCAGAGTTCCTGGCTGCTTTGGCAGCTGTCTTGCCAAACATATTTTCTTTTGTCTGAATGAAATATTTCATATCCAACTGTACTGTTTGTTTTACTTGTAGTCTTTATTCACTTGTGTCGTTAATCTGGGGTTTTTTTTGCTTGGGTATTATGTTGTGAACTTTTACTAATTACTTCACTAATTATCTACAGTGCTAAATAATTTATGTTTTATATTAAATGAAACACTTTCTATCAGTTAGTGTTGGTACTTTTTCTGGCTGCTGATGTCCAGTTTATTTTTACTCTGCTAGGAAATTCTTCCTCCTCCCCCTCTGAAGCAATAAATAACATAAAATTAGAAAGCCCTTATTTAGTAGACAGGGCACTTGATTCCATTAAAAAAAGAAGTGAGAATAACAATGTTGGGCACTGGTGTGTGAAATGCACCCAGATGCAGAGGACTGGTTACTATATATTGTAATGTCTTCCCTGCACATGTTTTAAAGCCAGAAAAATCTGTAAACTTTGGCCCCACTGGTAATTGTTCTTTGCTAACAGTCCTAGCTTTGCTTAGCCTAAAGCACGTGTATGGAGTCCTCCCCTAAACAGGACTTGCATATGTGTACTGGAAACTTATTAATGTCTCTCCCCAGTCACAGGTTGTGTGAAATTATCTTAGTCCTGGGACTGCCTGATTCTAGTGAGTGTCCTAGCCTCTTATCTCTCTGCTTTTCCAGTATTTTCCAACTCATCATTCAGTGTGACATGTGGGATTTAAAGATTTTATAAAAGAGAAAAATCTCAACATCTTATGTTTCTTAAAATGTCCTGTATCACATTTAAAATAAGGGCAGAGCATGACATCAGGCTCCACGTCAGGGAGAGCTGAGCAGTAGCCAAGATCTGTGAGCTCATTGGAAAGCATTGAAAAATGTTCATTTGGCATTGTGGACGCTGAAGACAGAAATAACACTTCAGATAAACACCACAGAGAGATAGTAGTTCTAATCAAAGCCACAGCACCTCCTTTCATGCTGTCGAACTAGGGCTCCAATTATGTTCACTGTTCTGAAGCTGAACAGAGCTGCTTTGCCACACTTTCCAAACTGAGAGGAGAGGCAGCAGTAGTGTCTTCCAAGGCACAGTTCCAAATAACAATTAAGCAGAAGGAATCAGATAAGAGCCAAACGTGAAAATGCAGGGAGTTGAAAATAAACTTTTCATAATGTTTTCTTGTAATTGCAATAGCTTTTGTTTTCTTTCTATATTTTTTCCCTCCCTACCACATGGTTGGTTAGAGATTTCTATTCCTTTATACCATGTCACTCTGGTACTAGTGTTTTCTGCATTCATTTAACAGAAAGCTAACAAAAATATCTGAAATTTTTAAAAAAGTCTAAGTGATCCTTCCATATTAAAAGTAGAACCTTCAGTCTAAAATCTCTTAACAAATTATTAATGTGATATAATGGCAAAGACAGTTTTTACCTTTTGTTCAGAAATATGACTGATAAACTGCTTTTCTCTTCAGTGTTAGTGGATTCTTTATTCTTCAGATATTGCTGTTGATATTTAAACTCAAAGGATAAAAGTTTTAAACAGTTTGGATTAGGGTAATGATTTTTAAAAAATAATTTAAATTAAACTTTATGTAATTTTTATGTGTTAATGCAACCTACGTATTTCTTAAAATAACTTTAAAATGAATATTGTGTATACTTCCTGAAAATTGTCAAAGTATAGTTGACCAAGTATTTAAAGGACATAAATTTCAGTGAAGGAAAAGAATTCCAGAAGGATTCAGATTGCCTACTGAAAATTTTCCTCCTTTTATTTTCAGTTGAAGAACTACATTAAGTATCCTAAAACATGAGAGACCTGCAAAATTGCTTCCTGAGCCATGAATGAAAATACAAGAGTTATAAAAGTCTATTTGAGGAGTTTTTAGAGGGTGATACAAGTTCATTGCTGGAACAAAGCAGATAAAACCTGGTTTAAAAAGGGGTAAATATTAGATATTTATAACTGCCTGGTGATAACAGCATAGTAGGTCTTTCATTGTTCTGGGTTCTTTTAGGTTTTGTGCGTGTGGTTATAACATACAGTTCCTATTACTTTTTATGATACAGTGGAGACACTGAGAACAATGCATAAATCAACAAAATAGAAAAGAATGGATGGCACATTTTTCCTGTGTTTCCCAATAGCCTTCAAATTGCATTTAGTTTTTTCCTTAAAATAATTCGAGGAACAGACATCATAAAACACAGTAAGTGTATTTGTAGCATCACTTAATTCAGAAGGCAGTAGGGGATGGATCGCAGTCAAATAAGGGCTAATGAGAACACAGAGGAACATGACAACTGAAAGTCTCTGTTGACTAGTGAACTAAATCTGCCGGCTGGACCTGATTGTCCGATGGAGAATTGAATGTCAGGATCATTTAGGGTTAACAATGGCCCATTACAAGCAAAAGCAGACAGCTATGAAAAATAGCCGGCATGGTAGCCATTCTGCAGAGACCCTGGATACAAACTTGGTAATGAGGCACTTCATTCACTACGTCCTTCTGCTCTAATTACTGAGGTGAATAGGAAAGACTTCATTTAAGGCGGGAACAGGCTAAAGCAAACACTTGTTTGGTAAACACAAAGAGTGGTGGGGTTTTTTAATGATCCTTTTCTAGCACATACGAAATTAGTATGTATGCAGTGCAACCTGTTTTATTGATGTGGAAATTGGGAGGGAATAGAAGTATTTTCTGCATAGTGGAGGGAGGCTAGAAAGTTTCATGTACAAGTTTGTACTGTGGGGTTTTCCCTTAGCATTCTGTCCAATGACTATCTAGAATGTTTTGGACAAATTAATTTATGGATGTACACCTGCACTTGTAAAAACATAATTGTGTTAGTTCAAGGACTTTTATTGCTTGGAGTATAAAATATGTGCATTAGGAACAAAACTACTGCACGCAAGGAATAGAAACGAGAGGAGGTCCGAGAGAGGGAAATAAGCAACTTCAGAAGAAAACTGCTGTCTGGGGGAGACTTGCAAGAATGTGGCAATTAGAAATTGGAACTTAAGAAGAAGGAACAGAAGATTGTGAGAAGGCGTTATAGCAGAGCTTTGGTGGCTCCAGTCGTGTTTTTTAGACTTTAGAAATTAAGATATTTAACCACTTCACTTTTTAATACATTTAAGTTTTGTGTCATTTACAGGGGCTTTTTGGACAAACATTTAGAACTTATGAGGAATATTCTCCTGTGCCTCTTCACTAACTCATAACTCAGTACTGTTCTAACTCTGAACTACAGCCAGGAAAGGTCCATATCGTCTGTGGCTTGCAGTGCTGTTGGGATAAATTAAGCTTTTGTTCCCTAATTTCTGGCACAGGTCTTCAGAGGGCAATTTTATAGTTGTTTGTTGCAATACACACCTCTGCCTTGATCCAGTCCGCTCCAGCCTCTTCATGCAGTGCAAAACAGCTAGAGCAGAGATGAGAATTTCACATCAAGCTTCTAGCTGCTGTTTTGAACAGGAAATATTGTACGATCCTTTTCTTACGTAGATGCACTTTGCTCACAGTGGTTTTGGCCAGGGTTTTGTCCTTTGTTCAGTCTGTTGTATGCCAGTTGCTTGTTGCCTTTGCCTTCAGAAGTTTCTGTTTTCCAGCAGTGACATGTATGTGTAGAATCCCACTCCTGCGAGCTGTTTGGAGTAAATGGACCCTTATATGCAGAGCTCCAGCAAAGTCAGTAAGGGTTAGCCTTTCAGCAGCAACATCATGGCTGTAGTTTATACATTAATGTACGCTAAAGACTGGAAAAATATTTTGTTGCTTTCACTCATAAGTGAAAATTATAGCTCTGTGTTTCATCTAAAACTCTAGCCACCTGATTTTTTTGTGAGGACTGTGTCAGGCCAAATGAATTTGCACTATGTCTGGCTGTAGCAAGCAAGTTTATGAGTCCTGTCTAATACTCAAATGCAAATACTCAGAAGAAACTGCAGATGCCACTTTTAGCAAAAAAATGTTTCCACACCGGTAAAGCAATATCAGTAAAATCTATGCTCTGAGCAGACATCAAATTTTTGGTGCACTTATATCGCCTGCACAGGCAAGGAGTATAATAAACTAGTGTGTAGCAGCTGTAAATTTTCTGAGGATTTATCTAACCACAAATACATCGAAATGGGGAAATAGGGCTATATTAAACTGTGCAAGATGCTGCTGGAACTCAGCCACTTCTGCAACATCCTGTAATTAATTTATTATGACAGGTCTGGCAAACTGAAACACCCAATACACTTGCGACAGACT